ATCAAGGGTCTCTTGTATACAGGTAAACCAGGTTCCCAAGTCATTGTAAATATGCTACAACCAATCCAATTTTTCATTTGGTATCTGCACTTCAATTTTTGGGGTAAATAATTTATCACTGGACTTGTTACCTATCATTGATATAGTTTAGGATCAGGAGAAATCTACTCTAGTACTAACTAATGCGAAAGCGAGTAGAAGGAATCATTTCATGAACAATTCCCGAAGTTAACAAAGGGGCAACTCACAATCAGCTCTCGAAAAAATTTTGAAGAACCTTGTTTCTCAAGAAGCTTGAGAGAAATTTGATAAAAATCAAGATAATTTGTTAAAAGTTGATAAAGCCTATTAATAATAGCACTAATATGTCTCTATATGTAGGTGACAAGATCTAATCAAAAAAAGGAAAAGAAAATACAATAGAAAGTATCAAAACGAAAACAAAATATGAAGCTGCTTCCTATGATGTCCAGCACCAATCTTCACAATGGACGTCTCTGAAGATCATCAAGTCGATATCCGACGCTGGTCATTTGGCCAGACTTAGCTCCGGACTTCCTTTGAAGTTCTTCTAGCAAGTCTCCTCTTGCCCTTCTTTACATGCTCCATCTTGTCCAAGAAAATATTAGCAACTTGTTCTACATCAAATATACATTGACTACTAACAAGAAAAATAAGAAAGTATGTATGCTAATTTGCTTCTTTTGACTTAAGTTTACTAAAGTTGTATTATAGGAAGTTAAGTTGATAGCCATTCGACAAATCTTAGAGTTTTTTACTAATATAGATTATTAGGATAGAATTTGGAAGGCCAAAAGTGTCCTGATAGATATATGCATTGGTGATAGCAAGTGCTTTCTCTCTATAATTTTCAATATTTTTAAATATTTTTATAATTTGGCCGCCAGACATAAGACAACATGTGATTTTTTTTAATATGAATTTGCAAAACCAGCAAGTGTATCAAATATGTTTAAATATTGTGACATTGGGGATCAAATTTATTTTCGTCCAAAGTTTGGTTACCAAAACTGTTTAACGATTAAAGTGTGAGTACCAAAACTATGGGCCCATTTGAATGATGAATATTTTGTGTATTTGCATAAAATTTTACTATAACTTATTATAGAAATTGTAGAAAAACTTTTGTAGATTTGAGGGTATGGAGAAAAAATTTCTTTTTTTTTCTTTTTCCTTTTTTGTTTGTTTGTTTTTCCTTTTGTTTTCCCTTTCTTCTTCTTCCTACCTTTCTTCTCCCTTCCTCTCTATCACCGACAGCATCACCACCGGTAGTCGCCATCGCCTCTCCCTTCTTTTTTCCCTCTCTCCTCCTCCCCTCATCTTCTTCTCCTCCTCTTTTCTGTCCTCCTACCTCTTCCTCCTCTTTTCTCTCACCCTCATCCTCCTCCTCCTCTCCTTTTCCCTAACTCTCTCCCCTTCCCTCGCCCCCATTCGATCATATGGCCAGAGAGGGGAAGGGAAGGGGCAGGAGCGTTGGGGAAAAGGAGAGAAAGAGAGGAGAGAGAGAGAGAGAGAGAGAGGAAGAAAGATAGGCCGCTTTTTGGGGACCTATTCTCTTAATAGGCAGCAAAGCAAAATAAGGAAAGGAACAACCTAACTAATGAGTGCCTTTTGACTCATCAAAATAGCCTCGCTTGCTCCTAAAATTTGCAGTGAATTTAGCCACCATCTCCGGGCTTGGGCTTTGCTTGAGCGTAGTCAGCCAATTTCGTGATTTTGTTTAGCTTCTAACCTTGTGATAAGAGCGACCCTGCGGCTTAGTAGCACTGGATTCCTTACCCATTCTTTCTCCTCCTTCCTTTTGGCATCTCAAGAGGAGAGGGGGAAAAAAAGAAAGAAAAGGAGATGTTAGTGCCAGCTTCGGTAGGCGGCGGAGGTGATGGTGGGTTGAGATGGGGGAAGATGAAGAAAAAGAAAGGAAGAAAGAATTTTTTTGGGTGTATTTTTGGGTATTTTGAAGTGTATTATAAAATAGGTAAATCTTATATATACTGACAGTATATACTATCACAGTTGGATGCACGACACATATGCAAAATTTGAATTTTAAATTCAAATTCGAATTATGTGTCTTACATCTAATGATGAAAATGTATACCCTATCAGTGTATAGAAAATTAATTCTTTTAAAATTTTGAGAAGTTTTATTTTGCTCGTGTAGTTAAAGTTGTTAAAAAATTAATAAAAGAAAAATTGGGCAAAATACTTGCCTTCAAAATAGGTTCATTATTTTACTCTTAAATATTACTAAATTATCATATGTTGCCCAAAATCATTTGCTTTTCCCTGAATTGTTTAGATTTATGTCATTTTTTTTTTTTTGCAAATGCTAAATTTTATTGATCTGCAAAGAAGAATACACAAGAGAGGAGAATACCCATACACACAAACAACAACATTGCAGCTACTTAACTAACAAGGAAGTAGGAAGTTCTAACTCAAAAACTAAAGAATTTTTCTATGTTGGGAAATAATAAACTCCTCGTGTCCTAGGGGTTCTAGATATATGTTTTATTTACTCCATTTTTTGTTGAATCAAAATCCGAAGTGGGACTCCCTCTTTTCTAGCGATGATAATAAGAAATAACACATTTGGATTCAAACATCAAAAGGACTGCTGTTAGTTCTGTTAGCTTTGATGACTAAAATTGACCAAAAGGCTATTTTTACATTTTCAGAGAGTCAAGGGCTAATATGATTTTTTTTTCATGAATAATTGGAGGGCCTAAAATAAACAAATATGAAAACTCAACAGCCACTTAAGTTGTTCTGCCATTTGCTTTTTCAAGGTGGCTTTGGACACAACTCTTTCCGCGTATGTGCCTTGAAGGGGTTCCAAGGTCTTTTGCACAAATTGTTGCCCTATTCTCAATTGCTTGTCGCAATTCAGATACTTATTTAAATCGCCAGCAGATAAACTTGCCAATAATATGAGTACAATTATTTCCTATGAATTTGCTCATGAATAGATGATGCAACTGACATGTAAATTGTACTTGGTCTACTTTCTTTTCTGGTAAAAAATAAGATAGGAGTCTATTAGATTATCACTGAGAACTTGACAAGGAATTATGTGAACTTTTTATCCCCAAAAAAAAAAAAAGGAATTACGTGAACAATATGGCAGTTACATTGAGGATAACTTCTATACTATATACAAAGGGAGAGCAAAGGGTTTAATGTAAACATTTTATCATCACTTTATGTACTTTCATTTTTGCTCTTATAAAAATTTAATTTTAATTACCCAAATGCATGTTATCAAAATTACTACTTATAAGCATTTCTTAATTTACTATTTAAACATATTCACTTCAATGTAACCAACCAATGCAGTAACTACCAACATGACAATCATATAGTCAAAATAATTAAGAAGATTAAGATTTTCTTTAATAATAAAAATTTGCACATAAAATTCATTCACCATAAATATCATGCATTTCGTTATTGTACATACATCGAGTGTGCATTTATCACTAGTATAAATAAACCAAGAAGATGAAGTATTTTTGGTGAATCACAAATAGGGTAAGAAAAAAGATCGGGATTAAAAGCAAGAATGGAACAACAATGGAAGTTTTGTTTTAGGCGTTGGTAGCTTAATGTTGCTTTTCTGTTTACTAAAACACGAGATAATCATAAAAAGTGAGAATGAGTATTTTAACTTTAACCATTGATTAGTTGGTCGATTTAACCCTTTATCGGCCACTTCACTGTATAAAGAAGGTCATTAATGGTTCAGCATAGACAAGTCAATCGTGCGAACAGATCACTATTTATAGCATATGACCCGATTCAAATGTATTTATCTGGCAGAATTGTAGCTTGTGAAATCCTTATACAAAATCAATGAACCTTGTCACAAGTACCATGATGACCAATGGCCAATCAATGTTCAACGTTTTAGCGGGCGGCACCCCTTCTTGTTGAACGGTGAAAATCAATTTCAAAGTGGTATTGTGAGGTGGCAAACAGATGTTCGGGAATGGTACTTGGAAAGTATCAATTATCTTCCAATTATCTATAGGCAAACTAAAGTACCACATCTAACACAAAAGAAAAGTCAAAAATAGGCGAAAGAAGAAATCAACTATTTTGAGCTCTAGTAATTAAAAAAGATGATATAGTATTGCCTATCCTACTACGAATTTCAATCAATCAAAAGAACGGTAAAGGAGTTTTTGTTTAAATGGGATAGTTGATAAAGCAAATGCATGTATGGCATAGTGGGTTTTCCGACAAAAGCACTTAGTAAAAGCTTAACAAGTATGTAAATATTACAAAACCAAATTACTTTGCACTTGGTATTTTTTCCACGATCTGTTTAATGTATAGTGCACCCGTTAAACTATATTTCAAGTGATATATTTTTGAAAATGTAAAATTAATTAGGAAAAGTAAATGAATATAAAGGAGGGTCAGCAAGATCAAATAGGATAAGTATATAAATGTAAAAAAAAAATAATTGTTAGTATATGTATGTTAGGTGTGTTAACGAGCGTTCTAAAGGCACCCATTAGAAAATTTTTTTTTTTTAAATACTCCATTTGAAGTTCATCCAAATACCTACAATTTCCTCAAATTAGGCTATGCTTGAATGTTAATTTCCGAAAGGTTGACTTTTCGGTAAAATAGACATTTACATATGGAATTTGTCACAATTTTGACTTTCTTTTTAACGTTAGTTGGGGTTTTTTCGTGACGAAAAGGTGAAGCCAATGTGCATATGCATATTGGTACTGATTCAGGAAATCTAAAGACAAGAATAGATATGTTTAAGGTGATTTTTTGGTAAATTACTAGTTTATTACTTAGAGTTACTTGTAAAGTTTGATGTAGTAGACACAGGAATTCAAAAAAATCCTTAAAATTGTCTAGATAGATGTTCCTTTTTAATTGTACATGTCAACATTCTATATAAAGTGGTTTTCATTTCTGAAAACCTAATTAGGAAGATAATAGATGCGAGTGCCGTTTTCTTAAGACAAGTTGGTATATAGTGTATGAGTTTCCCACACATAATTTGTTGAAAAAACAAAAGAAAGTCAAAACAAAACCTATACAGAGCCAAAAAAGTAAAATTAAACTCAATCCACTGTGATATATGTACTGCTCATAACTGTTACTTTCCCCCCTTGCCAACTGTTCTTGCGTAAAACCCAATGTAACAGCATAATTTAAAAAAGTCAATTTTGTGGTCCATTTTCTGAAAGCTGCAAAGGCCTGCCTGCATTCTACACACATCTTCTTTTCCACATAAGGCCAAGGAATTTTTCTTTAGAGATAAACGTTGAAGAATTTTGATCACTCCAATGTTTCAGTTTCCCAGAATATGCTGGTGATTGGAACCATAAGCAAAAGGGCATCACTTGCTCTTTACGTCATTGCAGCTTTATTCCTAAGTTCCCAATAAGACAAATTGAATTTGTTGCGTCCGGTCCTATTCTCTTCTGCTGCATGCGGCTTAGGTTTACCCTACCATGATGTTCTCACACGCCTAGACAAACAAGAAATAAACATCGAGCCCCAAACAAAAAGGTGCAGACGCCGATTTCATCACTTTGATTAGTCTTATGCTTTTGTGGGGTTGCCCACAATTTGACGTTCAACAAAACACATACCAAACTTGCTAGCTAGTTTTACCAACCAAACAAAAAAGAGTCTATTGAAGTTGGAACTATGGAACCCAATAATTATATGCTTTGCAATTTTTTTTAATAGTTTGGCAAGATAAACATGAGCAAGGTAGTAGGTGACGACGTGATTTCTTCACGTTTTCAAAGAAAGTTAGGCTATAGAAGTGATGAGATGAACTGAGAAGACAACTCATACAATTCACAAATTGGGGTAAATTGCATCATACCCAAAAGAAAAGACGAAGATGAACAAGCTTAAACACAAGAGACAATAACCTAAATGGAAGGTCTCTGGATCCACAGATTCAGTAAGTGCTAAAATGAAACAATATTAAACTGATGAGTAAGGATTCCAAAAGCACCATCCACGTTAAGGAACAGAATTCTGTCACTCAAAACCCTAACATCACCTCTGGCCTGCTTCAAGATTCTTCACATGACATTAAAAACTTGAACATGAGCAAACAACTATAGACATAATTAACTAGGACCACATTATTCAATACCCCTACCTTAAAAAACAAAAAGCGATAATTTTTTGTATAGTCTAAGGGGTAAGTAATTTTTTATACTGTCAGATATAGATGCATGTCTCGTATTTAGGAATAGAACTTCAAATATTACATAAAGAGAAGACATACCATTATAAAGCTTTTGAAGGAGTTCATGAAATTCCCCCAAGGAACTATTCAATTAGGGTATATGGGAATAAAGCGTGCTCATTTTATTCACCAAAAACCCAAAAAGATAAAAAAAGAAAGAGCTAAAGAGGGTATCCTCATGCTCCCATCAGTAGGTGAAACTACCGCATGATCTGATCTAGCCTTGAAGGTGAAGGAAAGATCAGATCATGCTGGCAGCTTCAACTACGAGTGGTGCACGAAAAGATTGCAGCATCCTCTTCCATCTTCAAGAGGGTCGAATTTTTCCGGCTTGGTTGGAGACTTGAGAGGCTAGAGGAGGCTGATCATGGGAGAGTATTTATAGGCCAGAGACTTGGGAGGAATTCTATGCCCACTTTGATGCTTTTTGCACTGCCAGTCTTGCTGCTTTTGTCCTTATGTGAAATGCGTCCTACTAGTATTTTAGGCAATTTTACTAAAAAATTGTCTGCAATTTATTGTTCAAGGAAACAAGAGTGTCTCTATTAATGACAAAGTTTATGCAAAAATATTTTGGTTTTATTGGTTAACAAATTCATTTCCAATATATATATATATATATATATATCTAACATATATATAAAGACTTAAGATTTCTTCTCCCATATTGAACCACGTGGCGGTATCAGGGATGACATCTTTGGTTGTGACACTTGAGCGCATAACTTTCCTGCCTGAAAAGTATGCTAAGCAATAGTTCTGATGATTTGTTTCTAAATATAAATCATTTTTCAACGAAAGAATAGGAATATTGAGCCAAGTACTTAGTCAGAACAATGGAATTTTATTTATTTACACATCCTTCCCACCAAAAATTGCAATACAGAAGACTATGTAAATTCATCATTTGTTTTTGTTCTATGCTGCATTTTGCACTTCCTTGTAAATTTCTGTTCTCAAATGAAAAGTGAAATCTGTCTTACAACTTACAAGTATAGCAATTCTTTCCTTCCTTGTGCTGTTACTTAATTTCTGAGTCAAGATCATTTGCGGAGATGCAGATTAGCCAATGAAAATGAAAGCAAGCATAATCATTACAGTTCAATGAGTGAGCATGTGGATATTTTTCTATGACAGTCAATCAAATCAAGAGAGAAACTCAAAAATGTCAATTTTGCACACCCGCTGAAGATTCAACATGATGTGCAAGATAAATATTGAAAACAAACAATATTTTTAGCGAAACTTTTTTTCTCCTAAGAAGTTTTTTTTTTTCTTTCCTAAGGTTTAATGTGTTTGTATGAATAAGGATTTTTTGCCCTTTTCCTTCCCTGTTTGAAATTTTAGGATTAATCGATGAAGCTGTTCAATCCTAAAATGTATAACTTATATATGCTGTGTCTTGCTTCAATTTAATTTCCTATGTTATAAGGCACACATTCAGCTGCTAATCTAACGGTCAAAATAGTAATTTCTCTTGCCTGTTAATACTTCAATAGATTAATATGTATACTGTTGAATTAAGCGTATAAGCAAATTGCCTCCCCAAGTCCATTTTTCTTCCAATTCCGTTTCTTCTATCTTCCATTCTTTTTTTTTTTTTTTTTGGGTAGGTAGCCTAAAGAATAGTTGATTTAAGTATAATTATCTCAAGAATGTCATAAAGAAATGGAATGATAACCCAATGAGAGAACTTTAGTCACGGCAATGATGGTTGTTGATGTGGACGCACATTATTTGAAGATTTTATGCGTGATTTCCTTGTAAGAAGATGAAACTTAATGTTGATGTTGGCTATTCTAATCATTACCATGAGAAAGCGATCAATTTACAGTGCGAATTTTCTTAGTATATAACTTTTATTTTTCTAAAACATGCAAATTCTGAAATTCCTTTGGAGTTTTATTCAATGACTTTTAAAAAATTTATGTTAGCAAAGAACTTACTTTTAGCATTCTTCTCCTCATTTCTTCCAACTTCTCTCTATTTCTTTTCATCTTCTCAAAAAAGCCTTCCTTCTCGGGAGGGAAACCACCATGGTCTCCCTTTCATGAATCTTATTTTATTGTGTTTTTTAATAAAATCTTTCCTAAATTTTTTAAAATAAATGTCCTTTTTTTCTCCTAGAGGTTTCTAGTGAGAATTTTCTATTTCTCCTAGAAGTTTCTAATGAGAATTTTTTATTTTTATCCTTATTTTGTCGTTTGATCAAATTTACTTCAGATTTGGTCGTCAGACCTGAAATTTTTTGAAATTTTAGGTCTATCTCAACAGTTATCATCATTATTATTGGAGTTTGAAACCATTGCTCAACATATCTAGCAAGTAGAACATGCACATAAGGAAACTGCAGTGATTTATGTAATTATTAGAAAGCAATTTAAAAATTTCTTATACTTTTTAGATTTGTTCGAAATCATTCATATTTATTGTATACGTTATTAAATTGCAAATCTGTTATTTCAAGTACATGTTTAACCTGTCATTGGGCCAAATTGTAAATCAAATCATGTTAGACGATTTGTAACAATCCATTAATAACATTTGCTTTTTATTTATAAAAAAATTACTTTTAACGTTCAATTGATCTTATGAAGCATTTGGTGCTTGTTTCTTAATGTGAATTAGCTAAGATTTTGAGCTAAACTTGTTATGCATGATATTTGGTAACTTAAACCTAATTTGTAACAGCCCGTCCCTTAATAGTACTATTACCAGTTCAATTTGACTCAGTCAATATCAATGGAAAAATGATAAATAATAAGAAAAATTTTAGGCCTCATGCATGATCTAGCTATAAGTAGTGAAATAGTAGAGTTTTTCGCACCATTAGAGCCCATAATTATTTGCTCCATGTTTTTTTTTTGGTTGAAATTATACAATTTTGAAATATTGAAGTCCAACTGCAATCCTACCTGTAGTTAAAGATGACAATGGGTACCAACTGGGGTTGGGCCAAGTGATCAGCAGCTTAGTTATGCTTAAGCAGGTCTCGGGTTCGAAACTTTGCGTACGCAGCCACCCTTATTAGGAGACTCACTCACCACAGTCAAGTGTGCGATCCAGGTCGACCAATGGATTAGTCAGGGCAAAACCCTGGATACCGTGGCAAGCAACCAAAAAAAAAAGACGACAATGGGTAGGGTAAACCTCGATATCCACATGTGTCCAATCTGATGGTTAATTCGATTAGATAACTGATGGATAATCCGCTAGAACTTGATAAGAAAACCTTAAAAACCTACATACATACATACATATATACATACACTCACAATTGTGGAATATTAAAGTCAAATTGTAGTTTGCATGTAGCCAAGGTTGAGATCTGACATTCTTAAATTCAAATCTCTATTCTCCTCCTTTTTCCTTAAATCCCATCCTTCTCCTGCTGTGAATTTTTTTTTTTAAATGCAGTTCTGCCTTTGTTTTCCTATGACCCTTTTCATTTGTTTTGTTTCTTTCTCATAATTAAACGCACATAAAAATATATTTGGGGAAGAGACAGAAGAGAGCTGAGTGACTGAATGACCAGTGTAGTTGTCTGATATTACTTGTAAGCATTAAGCATTACAAAAAAAAAAAAAAATTTAAATTTGAAAAGGTAAAAACAAGTAGCAAGGGGACCATCCCTTTAGTTAGAGCAAGAAAAAGGCGGGTGGGAGTTGGAGTGAGGGAGACAGCTTCTATGCTTGTCAAAGTCGTCTCTCTCTTCCTCACACGTAGTAGCATCGAATACATATTTTACATACATATAAATGAAACCTTAGTTTGTTAAGTGATGCTATCAACCTCTTTTTTTTTAATAATTTATAGGGGCGGCCATTTGTAAGAACGATGCAACGTTTGCTTTCTTGATTGGTGAAGATTTGACATCAAATGGAAGTATCCAGTAAACAGCCACAAATAAGTTAACATTTGGAACACATTAGCCTGTAAAGTTCTCAATCTGACTCCAGCATTATGCAACATATACATACTTTGGAAAAAGCATACATCTTTTAATAACCTTTGTTTTTACCTTACCTACTCGTTTCCACCAAATGGGCTGTCAGAGGAATCCATTGGAGGCATATAAATATCACAAAAAAAAAAAAGGTAAAGAAAGTGAGGGGGATTGGGAAAATTTCTATTGGTTAATTAACTAAAAGCAGAGGGCCTATTAACAGAGACAGATATGCTCCAACTTTAGTGATCAGTAAGTACTATCATGTCATCCAGAATTGTTGCATGCTTCTTGAATCGAGATACACAGACAGATATTATTTAGGATTCCGTTGGTTGGACTTAGAGAGTAAAAAATTTAAAGTAACAGTAAGTATTGAAACTTTCTTTTTTATTTTTTAGAATAATAAAAGTAGAATAAGATTGTAAAAAAAAATAGTAAATCTTTTATACACTGACAGTATATACACTATCACGATTGGATGCATGATATATGAGCAAATTTTGAATTTTAAATTTAAATTCACATGAGTTATTATGCATTCAATTATAATTGTGTATACACTGTTAGTATATAATAAATTAATTCAAACAAAAAGAAAACGTTAATTACACTCCCTAGAGTAAGCCATATCAATTGAGGTCTCAACTTGGGATGAGAAATCACGGGCCGGCTATCGCTGTTGTAGGTCAAGAACTGTGGCTGCAGATCAAGACTGCTGGTGCTGGTGATTGGTGGTGCCTATGATTGACATGGAGCCAATGTTTTGAAAATTGGATCGAACCAGCTGGTTCGACCGGTTGAACCGTGAACCGGTCATGGCATTGGTCCGGTTCAATGTCACAGTTGACTTTGTCAGAAAATCGGTCAAGAACTGGTCGAACCGTAAAAACCGCGGTCAAACGGCTATTGAACCGGTTTTCAACCTACCTCTTTTTTTTTTTTTTTTTTGCAAAAATGCAACTATTAAGATTCGAACTCAAGACCTTTGTAATAGAAGACCAATGTTTTAACCGTTGCACCATCACATCCTATTAGTTTTTTTTGATAACTTATTTATATAAAGCAAACACTCATATTTCCTTTTTCCATTTTTCTTACAAAATCTCATTCTCTCATGGCTCTTTCTTTTTAATTTTCAACTCTCTCTCCCTCTCTCTCTATCCTCTTTTTTTTGTCACTCCCTTTTTAATCAAATCTCTTTATTTTTAATTTATTGATGTTTTCTTCCATCTTTTAATTTTATTTTTGTCCATTAAATTGAAAAAAGTTCAAAAAGAATTATTTTTTTAACCCAAATTATTTAATGCTACAACCACTCACTTTTATCTCATTTTTTGTTTCTTATCAAGTTTACATTTCTATTTTCGATTTTCTTGACTTCCTTCGAACTCCAAATT